GTTCGAAATATTCCAAGCTTTCTGTCTACATTAGAAATTTCAACGGCCTGTCTCTGATTCTAATTATAATTATCTTTTGTTTTCATTATCGTTAATGCTTCCGTGTTACTCACATGTTCAGTCGATGGTATTCTCAACATCTTTCTGTAGAATCTCATTTTGACCGACTATTTTATGAGTATAAAATAAAATGTTCCGAAGCTCCGATATTTTCTGTTAGTATTATAAATAGTAAATTCACACATTCTTTCAAAGGTGACGAAGGTTTCAAAGTAAATTTGGATAATTATTATGATTTTGATGGGTGTAACTGCAAAATTGTCCCAATCGTGTAATAGCAAAATTATCCTATTGTTAGATTAAGCTTTGAAACGTGGCATCGTAGAAATGATTATAAATATCTTACTGAAATTGTCCGAATTTTTTATACCTCAATTGGTCACTACATTGAATAATAGGTATCTATTTAGCTCTAATTTGAAATGATGACCCTTTTTGCTGTTGGGGCCGCCTGATCCAGTTTTCCTCTGTAATGTTCTCTTTTTTTTTAATTTATTCATCATTCTCCTGATGGTTCTTGAAGATATATTGAAAATAAAAGCCAGAGTATGAGTGTTGATTCCATTAGTGGAGGCCTGAATTGATCTTTTTTCCTCTCACCATTGCTCAGTTGGTAAAACAAAGTGGGACTCACACAAAATGATTTTAATCTGTTCAATTTCTACCTGAAGGAATCAAAGAGTGTTCCAGCAATTCTTAATGTCTTATCTGAAATCTTGGAAAAAAGAAACTCAAGTTAGTTTAGTGGGCTTTTAGATATTAAACATTTTGTGGGATGGACAACTATCCCATGTGATCTCCTGATCCACGATTCGGGCAATTTTGCTGTTACACCCAGTATATCACAAACCCAAAACCTACTCTGATGCACGAGGATGCTCCTTCCTCTAACATTAATTTTATGCCCATTTTATCAAATATTTTTCAGCCGCCACATTAATGAAATGCCCTCTGACCTCTCCAGATATTAATCGAACACACTTCTGGTTTGTCAGAAATATAAATGAATATAAAAACGGAAGTAGAAAAGCATCTTGAAGTACAGATTAAATCTGAGAAACAGTAAAAGCTAAACAGTAGAAAAGTTAATATAAATCTGTCAAAACTGATAAAGATTAAATAATGTCATTTAACACATATTAATATTAAAATAATGACATTTTACTTTCTATATGATATTCAGTAACTCAAATATGTTTCTATTGGCTACATTATTTATGAAGTACATGGATTGGAAATAAAAGATACGATGTGAATGGCTGAAAAAGTCAGATAAAATAACTCCCCAGACATTAATAATGAAACATCTGATAAATTTAAACTATCGGAGACTATTACGTCCGTTTCATCTCATTAACAAGTCAGAGTAATAAGATGCAAATAGTATTAATTAAAATTTAAGCCTGGACAACACTTTCTCTTCAACATTTGAAAAGTTTAAGACTATGAATGTCTGAGGCGTAAGCATATATGCCGTTTAGTCAATCACTTAAGGAAGCAATGCGGCTATATAATTCGATTTTAATGACGTTTGCTGGTAAGCTTCCGTAGCTTAATTGGTAAAGCTTTGGCCGTTGAGACAAGCTTAAAAGATTAGGATAAATGAGGCTTGTTCAAATTTATTTGCATCTTACTCGTTAGTTCAAACTTGACGATTATTTAAAAAACCTTGGATGCAATAAAACAGGACATTTATTTTAAAATACGTTTTCAGCAATAATGAATTAAAATAATGTATGCACTGCTATCAAAACACAAGAAAACGCATCTAGACTATTAAGTTTTGGTATTTATTTCAATGTTTTCTTTTCTTTAGTTTAAACCTTTCGTTCAGAACAGCTATTTCTCCTACCGGTCAAATTCTGTCCCTTTGTTATACTATAATACCTATTCTATTGTAATAGACTCTCCCACAGATAATAAGTAGTAGTAGTAGCGGTAGCCTGTCGGCTCAGTGGCGTCTCGCGGTCTTTGACTGCGCACGCCTACTGTCGAACTCTCTACGTTAGCAGAGAGGAATCCGGACGAAGCTTTGCCGAAGGGCAAGGTTTCGTCCGGGGAGGTAGACGGGGCCTGAACCCGTTTAATCGGCTTCAAAAGGCTATTTTTTTGGCCGAGCCTACGGGCTCGGAGATACCCACAATAAAACCGGCCTTGTGCCATATTCGTTTCCCGTGGTGTTGAGCGAGTCAGACGAGATCAGACATTGAAGTACCAACCATCACAACTAGATTGCTGCGTCATTAACTCTTATTTTCAAGTTCCTAACGTTTTGTAAGTCGAACCTAATTTAGGACGACTTATTGAAATACAAGCCTCCACTGTAAAAACTAACTCTACAACACCCTTGTTTAGGAATATATGATTACACCTTCTCGCTTAGTGTCTTGTCATTCAATCGTATATAGTTTTGGATTCTATGTCGGCTAGATTTGTTTTG